CACAGAGCGTGGGTACTAAAAGCCCGGGCTGTGCTTTCACCAGGGAGCCCCTGATGGTGGGGATGGACTTGAAACAGTCCCGGGCCAGGTCACGACCTCCGAGCAGGCCCGCCAGTGGCTGAGGAGACCTTTGGGGACAGGTACCCACGGGAGAGCCAGATATGAAGAGGATGGCGGCCCCCAGCAGGGTAGTAACGGATCGTGGGCCCGTGAGGGTAAGCGGGGTACAGAATCGGTAGGCGAGAGTAGTCGGGTCACACGCAGGGTCAGCAGGGAAGTCAATCCGTAGAATGGTCAGGGCAATCCGGGTCAAACGCAGGGGCAGGCAGAATAGTCAGGACAATCCGGGTCAAACGCAGGAGCAGGCAGAATAGTCAGGACAATCCGGGTCAAACGCAGGAGCAGGCAGAATAGTCAGGGTCAATCAGGGTCACAAGATAGGTGCAGGAACTCAGGATCACAGGAAGACCTTGCGGCAATCTGTGACAGTGCAGGGCATCTTTAAATAGTGCGCCCTGCACTGTCATTGGCCGGCTAGGACGCGCCCCGGCTGTCATTGGACGCCTGAGGCGCGCCCGCGGCTCCTACTGCGCATGCGCGCGGCGTCCTGTCAGCCGCGGCTCGCCGGGACCTAGTGCCTGTGTCCCGGCGCGATCTGCCGTCACCGCGCATGCGCGAGGGACGGAGCCGCGATCGCGGACCATGGAGCCGCGGTCCCTGACAGAACCATTTCCATGCATTGATTGTCTGCTCAAATTGTCTGACAATGATTGCTAATTCAGTGTTTTATATTGACATTGTATGTATCTATTGTGGCAGTTCTGGGCACTCTCACAGTGAGAATCAAGGTTATACCCCAGGATTCTCAACTAAACAGGTTGAGGGTCTCCAGAGGGTTTACTTAATGCAGAGGAAACTGGATTTTCAGTTTCCTCATTTTTTCCGTAAAGTCCGTTTTGGGATCTGGAGCCTGGAGATTTCAAAGTGATCTGGGTGGGATGAAATCTCCAATCCTGGGTCCATGTTTTCTAAACCCCCAGCACACTAATTGTACAGGTGTGCTCAGGGCTTTAAATAATAACCTGACTAGGGTTCTGGGCTCCACCCCGGCAGACAGAAGGTCATTGCCCAGGAGTCAGGAGAGCTCCACCTAGGAGAGGTGGGAGCCAGAGCAGCAAGAGGCATCTACTTGTGTGCAAAAAAAGCCATTTAGGAAGGAGTCTGCAGGAGAAAGCTCTGAGCCTGAAGTGGAAGGCCAGAGCGGCATACGTGTGTGTACAATCCAGGAGGCTAAATATCTGTTTTTTTGAAGAGTGAAATGTTGAAAACCCCTGTGAGGGAAATTTATGGAACTTTCTTTTAAATAAAATTGGGCTAAAATGGCCCTGAAAAAGAAGAAAGTGAGTGGGTGTGTGCTTTAAAAGCTCTACACTCCATGCTAGTTCCCACACTATGTACCTCTCATCGATGAGTCTGTTTTTCTGTTTTTATCCTCTACTGCTTTGTGTTTGCCATACCATGTTTCTATGCAACCCTGTTTGTTGTAAATGTTTGAAAATCAATAAAAAGTTCATTACGAAAAAAAGAAATTTAATAGCAGTAGTGCGGCAGTAGTTACCACCGCTAAATAACAGATCCCTGTATGGTTTGTTGATAAACAGCAAGCAGGTGAGAAAATGTCATTTTATGGGACAAACTGGCCAAAAATGATCAATTCTTGCTCAGCAGTTCCCTGAATCATGAACTGACTGGGCTTTGGTCCAGCAAGGTTAAAACTGAAGTTTATTCTTACTATCAACTGCAAGAGATGTAAACTGTCAAAGCAAAATATATAGTAGATGTTGCTGTTTTGATCAAGTAAGATACTTTTATCATGCTCAGGATTAACTGATATGTTAAGTACTGAACATTGGGGATAGCCTTTTGCAAAATCATTTTGTAAAAATAGTTATCTAGGAACTACACAAAAAAAGTGGCAACCACCCCAACCTATAACTAGCCTGTCACATACCTTGGTTGGAGGCCAAGTTGCCAAGAGGGCTTCCCTTCTCTGGTCTGAGCACCCTTGAATGTGGTGAAAGAGGTACAAGGCTCAAAGAAGCCTTCAATTCCATGGTGAGGGACATAGTCAAGGTGAGCCAGGGTCATACACAATGAGACAGCAGCATGGGCAAGAAGCAGGCTAGGGTCGGTACCAAGGAATCAGGTAGAGCAAGGTCCAGTAGCAAGCTGAGGTCAGCACCAGGAGATCAGACAGAGAATAGACAGAAGCAAGCCAAGGTCAGAATCCAGAATCCACAGAGCAAGGTCGAGAACAAGCTGGGTCAGGAACGGAAGGTCAGTCAGCAAAGGCAGGAATACAGATCAGAGGGAGCTGAAGAGCATCCAGCGATTAGAACACAGCAGGATCTCCTTTAAATAGGCAGCTTGGTGCCAATGCGGGAGGACGTGCACGACAATACGTGCTTGCGCACACAAATGAGCCTGTCAGGGATCCCTCCGTGCAGCCATGCAATGGCGCCAGATCCCCTCAGGCCGTGGTGATGTGAGTGCACATGTGCGGGAGCGTGCGAGTGCGCGCATGCGCAGTAGCGTACACGTCACCGCAAGGCGGGCTATTTAAACCTGCAATACAGTTTAGTCAATGCCTTCTGGTCTATAACATTCTGCACTCCATATCCTGATTCTGTTGCCTGTATCTGATCTGACTAAGAAAGAACTCCACCTGCATCAACCCCAGCTATCCCTGACTATCCGTTTGCCTGCTCCCTTGTACTTGATTTGCTCGTTTGATCCTGACCCGGCTTGTCTGATTCTGCTGCACCTGGACTGCATCCTGGTCACCGCCATACTTACCTGCTTCTGCACCCACGTTCCTGCACCTAGTCTGCATTCTGGTTACCACCATACCTGCCTGCTGCCGCATCTACGCTCCTGTGTCCGTTCCCAGTCTGCATCCTGATTGCCGCCATACCTGCCTGCTGCTGCACCCACGTTCCTGCATTCGCACCTGGCCTGCATCCGGATCTCCTGGGTCTTCACTTGTCTGCCACCAGCTCCAGACCTACCCGGCACTCGTGCCACTCCTGGCTCTGCGCCCCCTGTTCCCACTATCAGGGGCTCCGAGCTGGAGTCGTAAGAGTACGCCTCCTCCACGTCCACGTCAGGCTCCCCAACCAGGTACGTGACAGAACCTATGTGTCAGTGCACCCTAGAAATCAGCCTGAGCTAGCCTGTGTCCTGGTACATGTTCATGAGCATTAGCTGCACAAGAATGAGCATTATCTGTATTCATTTTCTGACACAGGGCTACAAGAAAATGGAGGATTAGTGACCACCCCAATAGGGCAGAGCCATCACTCAACGCCCTACAAATAGTACAGGAATCCACCTATCCTGACGAAGCCACGTGACATCGTGGAGTAACGCGTAGAGCGCAGTGACGTACCTCCGGTCACGCACATCCGGTAGACGCCATCTTTGGACACCCAGCACCTTGCAGTACACCCACAGCACATGGGAAACCTGCTGTATGATATCTGAAAATATAGTGAGTGTTCTTTTTGGCTAATTTTTGTCTGCTATTGGAATGAATGGTACTTCACTATGAGGAGGCTCTCTTTGTCTACCTCTTTACGGCCTTATGATATTACTGGTGTTGTAACCATCTGACGGCAAAAGTGACCTGGCAGAGGAGGCTGTGTGGTACTACAGGAACCAATTAACAGAGATCCCCAGTTGTGTGGAGCACTATTGCTTAAAGCGTTGTGGCCCTTAGGGGTCGCATAGATAAGGTGAGGAGGCACTCTAGCCACTTCCGGATTAAGATGTACACGTGTGGCATGTTAACACGCATCATGTTTGGAGTGAAGAATTGAAGCACTGATATCGTGTTGTTTGTTTGCACATCAGCTGTCAAGCACTTGTTATTGCACTTTATTATGGACTCTATTTTGACCCATATTTTTACTCATTTTTTATAGCACTTGTCACTTTATTTAGAGTGTGCAATATATTTTTTCTTGAATTTATTTTTCACTTTGCATTAACTTTATTTTGGCACTATTATTAATAGTCAGCAACTGCATGACCTGATTGCACTTTAACCAATTGCCACCTGGCCAATGGCCGTTTGGCGGCCGCAAAAATGCACTAGATTTCCGGGGTGGACGCCATTTGACGTACTCCCGCACATGCACAGTTTTCGTGCTTGCAGAGCCGCGCAGCGGCACGATCTGTCACCAGGCGGTGTACCTCGGACACGGCCGATGACAGATCGGAGTACCGGCCCCCGTTGCCGGTACCATGTGACCTGCTGTGACCAATCACAGCAGGTCACATGACAGTTGTATACAATGGATGGCTTCATTCATGCCATCCATTTTATACTAGTGTCTAGCTGTGAATGGTCACAGCGATCACATGCACATGTCATGTGATTAGCTGTGGCCTAATCACAGCTAAGCACAAAAAAAAAAAAAAAAAACCCTGAATGAATCGATGTCATTCCGGTAAATGCTTGCTTATAGCAAAGTAATTCTTTGCTATAAGCAAATTGTGTAAAAAAAAAAAAAAATACTGATTACTTCCCCAAATGTTACTATGGTAACATTGTACTACTTTGGTCATAGTGAAATATGAAAAAAAAAATCTTAAAAAAAAATGTAATAAAAAATTAAAAATAATAAAAAAAAATATATATATACAGTATATATATATATTTATTTAAAAAATATATACCGTATTTTTCGCTCCATAAGACGCACCTGACCATAAGACGCACCTAGGTTTTAGAGGCAGAAAACAGGAAAAAAAAAATTCTGAACTAATGGACTGCAGACATAGTATAGGGGATGACCAGAGACTGCGGACACAGTACAGGAGATGACCAGACACTGCGGACATAGTACAGATGACCAGAGACTGCGGACACAGTACAGGAGATGACCAGAGACTGCGGACACAGTACAGGAGATGACCAGAGACTGCGGACACAGTACAGGAGATGACCAGAGACTGCGGACACAGTACAGGGATGACCAGAGACTGCGGACACAGTACAGGAGATGACCAGAGACTGCGGACACAGTACAGGGATGACCAGAGACTGCGGACACAGTACAGGGATGACCAGAGACTGCGGACACAGTACAGGGATGACCAGAGACTGCGGACACAGTACAGAGATGACCAGAGACTGCGGACACAGTACAGGGATGACCAGAGACTGCGGACATAGTACAGGGAATGACGAGACTGAGGACACAGTACAGGAGATGACCAGAGACTGCGTACACAGTACAGGGATGACCAGAGACTGCGGACACAGTACAGGGATGACCAGAGACTGCGGACACAGTACATGAGATGACCAGAGACTGCGGACACAGTACAGGGATGACCAGAGACTGCGGACAGCACAGAGATGACCAGAGACTGCGGACAGCACAGAGATGACCAGAGACTGTGGACACAGCACAGGGATGACCAGAGACTGCGGACAGCACAGGGATGACCAGAGCCTGCGGACAGCACAGGGATGACCAGAGACTGCGGACAGTACAGGGATGACCAGAGACTGCGGACAGTACAGGGATGACCAGAGACTGCGGACAGCACAGGGATGACCAGAGACTGCGGACAGTACAGATGACTGCTGACCTTTGGGGGGGGGGGGGGAGCGGGTACCTGAATTTGACAGATACCCGCTCCCACTTCCGCGGAGTTGTTCTTTCATCTTACCTGTTCCTCTATCCAGCCGCGCGCTGTCTTCCCGGCTTCTGTAATGGCGCTCGGCATGACAGCCGGGTGCCCAGTGCGCATGAGCGAGAAGCACTTGCGCTTTGTGATTGGTCCGGCGGCTTCTGGGATCTGTCATGTGTCCCAGGTGCCGCCTTACCATTCACAAAAAGCACCGCTTCTTGCGCATGCGCACTTGACACCCGGCTGTCATGCCCACACTACAGAAGCCGGGAAGACCGCGCCGCTGGATAGAGGAACAGGTAAGATGAAAGAACAACTCCACGGAAGTGGGAGCGGGTATCTGTCAAATTCAGGTACCCGCTCCCCCTCCCTCCCCAAAGGTCAGCAGTCATCTCTAAGGTCCCGTTGTAGAGCTGAGCGGCCGGCCCGGTATTCTGACACGGCGGCAGTGGAAATACCGGACCGGCCGCTCCATATTCGCTCCATAAGACGCACTGACATTTTCCCCCCCTTTTTTTTGGGGAAAAAAGTGCGTCTTACGGAGCGAAAAATACGGTATTTTTTTTCATACTGTCACGAGTCAGTGTCCCTGATCACCGCCATGCCAATTATATGATGACGCTGTACTGCACTGGTGACAGTATGTAAAAAAAAAAATAGTGAAAATAATTTTTTTCATTTTTCATTTTCCGAAAAATTATGACAAAAAAAATACAACTTCAAAAAACTCGCCATTCCTCTTATGAAGTACGTCGGACTGTCTACTCTGCAAAAAGGGGTCATTTGGGGATATCTGTACTATTCTGACATTCTTGGACCTCAAGAAATTAGATTGGCTGTCAGTACTTCAGGATTGATCAATATTCAGATATATCCCATAGTTTGTGAACTCTATAACTTTCCTAAACTAAATAATACATCCTAATTTGGGTTATTTTCACCAAAGACATGTAGCAGAATACATCTCGGCCTAAATTTATGAAGAACAATTATTTATTTGTAAACTTTTATAACAGAAACAAAGAAAAAAAACGTGTTTTTTTTTCAAAATGTTTGGTCTTTTTTTGTTAATTTAGCAAAAAATAAAAACCCCAGCAGTGATTAAATACCACCAAAAGAAAGCTCTAGTTGTGTGAAGAAAATGATAAAATTTTATTTTGGGTACAATGTTGTATGACCGCGCAATTGTCATTCAAAGTGTGAGCGCCTAAACCTGAAAAATGCCTGGGCAGGAAGGTGTAAAAGTGTCCGGTATTGAATTGGTTAAACAATTGGCATTTATATATTTTTTTGGGCAATATTAATCACTAGTGTATTCATTTAATTTGTTTATTAATACAGTGTGGTTACCTTTTACATACTCAACATCATTGTGCTATACACATCATGTTTTTATATGTGAAGCGCTTCACCAATATTGTTTATTCATTTCCTGACATAGACTTTATAGTAAGGTGCACATGGAAGGGCATAGTAAGGGCAATAGTATAGTAAGGGCAATGTAAATCACAAACAAACAAAAGATTTCCCAGCACACTTACCAGCTAGCCTGCAACCGAATTGACTCTGTCTAACAAATGTTAAAATAGAGGGCTCTGTTTGCACACATTTGCAAATACAGTATGTACATAAGCTGCAGTGCCCCCATCAAAGGTCCTCTGTCTACTACAGTCTTAACTCTAGAACAGGGGAGGACTGACCATACAAGCACTCGGGCACTGCCTGAGGTCCCGGAGTAAGTAGGGGGCCCCATGAAATGCCCCTGGTACCTTTTTTATAGGCTTTTTTGAGTGTGGCAAGGACACAAGGGCTCCATGATCCTCTATTGCCCGGGGGCCCCATGAGTTGTCAGTCCGCCCCTGCTCTAGAAATGTCAGAATCTCCTTGGCAGCAGCCCAAATAGCATGGATAGATTAGGGGAGGTGTTCCTGGAGGGAGCCCACCACTCCTTAAACGCACAATGGATGTATGTGACACCCAGTGAGAGCACAATGGCACCTGAAGGCATCCAGTGACTCCCCACGCCCAACTCAACCAAATGTGCGAAAAGGTGACAACCACCCCAACCTATAACTAGCATTTGCAGTAAGGTACACATGGAAGGGCAACACATATCACAAACAAACGTTTTTGTACAGGACTGCAGTAGACAGAGGAGCCTTGATGTGGGCACTGCAGCTTACGCACATACCTGCAAATCTGTGAACAAAACCCTCTGTTTTAATGTTTGTTAGGTAGCATCAATTCAGTTGTTATGCAGACTGGCTGGTTAGTGTGCTGGGAAATGTTTTCTTTGTTTCAAGGAATTTTGATAAGATCTTCCCTTAGGGTGGGTTCACGGTGCTGGAAAGGCGTGTTGGTGCATGTTTCCTGCACCGTGTTCTAAATGCACTGCCTTTGCAATCTGCTGAAGGTGCCAATATATTATTAACGGCACCCAAAATACAGATCGCAAATGCAGTGTGCTTATGGGCACCAATTGGCAAGGTACCACAGTGCCATGCTGTGTGTTGTTCTAAAGTAGTACATGCACTACATTGTGTGTGATCTGGAGCAATTCCTGCCCATTCAAATGAATGGGCCCTTGGTGTCTGGCATTTTGTAAGTTTTGCTTATTTTACAATTTGTAATTCTGTCTTTAGAATGTATAGAAAACATGTAAGAAACATGACATGATTGGCAGGTGTGAAAGTGATGAAATGTTTTACGTTGAAAGCGGAAGTGATGTAACATGCTTTTGCTTCTGCTGTGTGATGAGATACCTAGCTAACAGGTGGGAAGCCTCACTTTCATCATGCAGTGCGTGTGCTGCTAGTAATATGGCGTCATGTCAGAGCTTATTGAGCTTCAAAGAGGGCAAATTGTTGGTGTCGCTTAGCTGGTGCCACTGTGACTGATGTTGCCAATTTATTTGCCATGTCATGAGGTACAGCATCAAAGGAAATGACGGCAAATACAGTTTCTGGGAAAATGTTGTTAAATATGCATAAGCATGGTCAACATGGTCAACTGACTGAAAGAGACAAAAGGACGTTGCGCAGGATTGTGACCCGGAATAGAAAATAGCTGCTGCAAAAGTGACTGCAGAGCTCAATCTCAGTCTTCCAAAGCCCGTGTTCACAAAAACTGTGCAGAGAACCTCATAAGCAAAGCATTCACAGGCGGGCTGCAATTGCCAAACCACTAGTGATCGATATTAATGCTCAGAAAAGGAGAGAGTGGTGCAACACCCATAAATCCAGACTATCGCTCAATGTAGTATGATCCGATGAATCGAGCTTCACACGGTTCCCAGCCAAGTGGCAAACACTGTCCCAGGCTCACAACCAGGACTGGCTTGTGCCAGCGGTAAAGCATGGTGGTGTCACAATAGTGTTTGGGCAGCCATATCTTGGTATTCTGTAGGCCCCATCATCATCTTGAAAGGTAGAGCCGCTGCCAGCGACTATGTACAAATTTTGGCCAACCATGTGCACCCCATGGTGCAGACATTGTTTCCAAAAGACAGCTCCATTTACCAAGACGATATCACCCTGATTCACACAGCTGGTACTGTCAAATCGTGATTTCATGAGCATGCAGATGAAGTCTCACACCTTCCCTGGATGCCACAGTCGCCGGACCTCAATGTTATAGAGCCACTATGATCAATTTTGGAGAAGAAGGTTTGGGCTCGTTCCCACCTCATCCCTTTAAAACACATATTGATTACACAGGTTCTGTGTCTGATTAAGATGGTAGTTGTAACGGAACCGGAAACCAGGCCGCACTGAGTTTTTCCGTTATACCACAGCTTCCCCTGTCCGAACACCATCCACGGACCACAGCCTTGAAATCCCTCAGGAAATAGAGAGCAACCAGCTCTTCTTAAAACAGGAAGCCAACTCTTTTTATTTTAACACAAAACACAGGATATATACAGAGGGGCGGGGAAACACAACCAGGAACAGGAAATACATCATCACCCCTCCCCATCCCACCAAGACACAGAACAATGGGATGCAGCCATGCGGCAAAGGACATTGACCAACCCCCACACCAATACACAAACAGTACATCCCATAATAGTTTGCTGGCCAGCAAGACACAATAGAACAAAGGAATAGCCACATGGCAGTAGTCAATGGGCAACCATGTGGCCAAGAACAAAGGAACACACACTATACACAGGACTGGGACATTCACATGTACACCCTGTACCCTAACAGGCACAGGGTCACTTAAACATAATGATTTGGGAAGATAATACAGCGGTCCTCCCACACCCAAAAGTCACTCCCGTCACAGCAGTTAAACTCACTTGGTGCCTTATCTGCAATAAATTTGCCTCAGAAGCTGTGTAATTAATCTGCTTTCGGTTTTAAATGCATGAGGTGTGTCAGGGCTCCAGGTGTGACCAGAGGTGTGTGGACTGACACAGGGAAACTCAGGCTTCAGGTATAGTATAAACAATACAATTTATTCAAGACTAAACAATACATAAACGCAGTGCAAGACTAAACATAAGACCAGTGCAAACAAACCAAACCTCCAACAGATAACAATAAGAACAATACTAAACGTAGTCGGGCAGGCCGGGTCGGTAGCAAACAGGCAGGCAAGGTACAAGGAGCAGGCGGAAGAGTAGTCAGGAATAGCCGAGGTCAGTACAGGCAGAGTTCATCCAGAGTCAGGATTCACGCAGGCAGGATCAGGCTACAGGGGCCAAGGGCATCTATACACCAAGGCACTGATCACAGGCCTGGTCCTGCATAAATACACCTCCTGCAATCAGCCTCA